TGTGTGTGTGTGTGTGTGTGTGTGTGTATGTGTGAAAACGGAGAAAACTTTGATGTGTACAATTCGCAAAACAGTTGAAAGTAAAAATCTCACTTTTCTCTTTCACCATACACTATGCGAGCCTGTTTTACAAATGGTTTCCACAACGCAGGGAAAGCAAGACGGTCAATACTGCAGAATTGTTACATACAGGGTGTCTAGAATAAAAAAGAGAGCCAGCTTGAAGGACAAAAACTATGTTATCTCTACATTAATTTCAACAAAATTCCGAACATAAGAAGATTCGAACAGGGAGGGCGTGAAGTTTGAAAATGTTCAGCCCAAAATGGGTAAAACTCAAAATTTTACTTCTTAGGGTTCCGCTAAGAGTGGGCATGATCGCCCTTTCAGATTTCTGGAACCACAGCAGTCACCTCGGATATCTCACGATGCTGAGAAAGTTTTAGAGAGGTTTGGGGAGGAGAAAATGTAATGCTTTAGGTCTGGTTCCAGTGGGATGGTGCCATACCCCATAGGTCAAGAGTGGCCCTGATATGGTTGCAAGAAAAGTTTGGGGAACGCCTTATGAGCCAAAAGTTTACAAAATGAATTCATTTTTGGGTGTTTTTTTTTTAACAGAGTCTGGGGAACAACCTACAGACAACAACTGAACAGCTGAAACTCATTTTTGAACAGGAGGTCCAAAGAATCCACCCAGGAATATGCCAGAAAGTAGCGTGTTAGAGCTTGAACGGAGAAAAATGGTTCAAATGGCCAACACCTGGAGATATAGCCATTGCCTTTCCTGAGTTTATTTAGCAATATCAGTTTTGTTTTAATTTGTTCTTCAATCCACAGACTATTTTAATGATTGTTTAAATGTTGACGAAGGTAACGTAAAATTGATTGACTTTTATTGTCTTTGAAGTTTTGTTGAAATTGGTACAAAAGTGACCGACCTACTGCTATTTAAATGGGTTCTCTCTCTTTTTTTTTTTTGGACACCCGGTATAATATTATACCACTCCAATGTTAAATCAACTGCTCAGTATACGACTACGTCATACGCTTCTTTGAAAGTTGACGCACGGCAGAGTTTTACATTGCGTAATCGAAATGACCAGAGGTTTGACTACAATCTGTGAGCCTTCTAAACTTGCAGCAATTCAAAATTGAAGCCACAACATCAATAAAACCCATTATGATACGTGAGAAAACATTAATTGTTGATGATGCAAGACAACTATATAAACTCTTCAGCGCGTTCCTGTTTTTCAAAGAAGTGAACTGATCTAAACCCCATTGTCTTGCATTTTAGAATCCTAGACTATATTTTGAGAGAGAGAGAGAGAGAGAGAGAGAGAGAGAGAGAGAGAGAGAGAGAGAGG